AAAAAAAAAAAAAAAAAAAAAAAATTTGTAATAATTTATAATTTAAACAAACACGATAATAATTTACAGCACGATAATAATAAAATTACAAGCACGGTACTTATGATATACTGTAGATCCATAAAAAAATCCCTTAACATGAAACATTTCAAGTTTCATTTACCTTTTATATATATATATATATATATAATATATATACAGTTTACATGTAATTAATTGTTTCACCACGATTTTTTCTTTCCTATAATTAATTTTAAATTAACTAATTTCGGAATTATAAAAAAAAATAAAAATGGATCAGATATTCAAATCAGGGAAAAAAAATGTAAGGAGAACAATTTTTATATGATAATTAATTGTACTAAAAAGGTTTTTATTATGATTCATGCTGATTCGTGGTTTTTTAATGGAATATTTACTACTCATTTACTACTCATTTACTACTCAGTTACTACTCAGTTACTACTCATTTACTACTCATTTACTACTCATTTACTACTCCTTTACTACTCCTTTACTACTCCTTTACTACTCCGATTCAAAAAAAAAAAACTTAATTCTTTGTAATAAATTACATCAATAAGTCAATAACCGTACATACCGTAGTTACCGTACATATTTTGCATTACTTTGACCATGTGATTTAAATATTAATAAAATAATTACAAATTTTTTTTACTTCTAAAAAGACGTAGCAGTACATATTCTATATTTATTTATTTGCTTATTTATTTATTTATTTATTTATTTATTATTATTTTACATTAGATCTATTTATTATTATTACATTGGTGTATTTACTGTTTTTATAATATTGGGGGTTGGGGGAATGGGGTTTTTGAATAATTGTAACGTCAATGCTATTTGTTATCTGCTATCTGATTCGTATAAAAAAAAATACAATTTTTTTTTTGTAATCTTGTACAAATTCTTGATTAAGAAATAAAATAATAATAGAATAAAATGAGTAAAGAGAGGAAGGGAAGGGAAAGAAAAAGGGAAAAAAATATACAAATAAAATGATGATTTACACATGTTATGCACTTTTTCTTTTATGACTACGAAAAAAATAATGAAAATTATGTCTAAAATTATATACTCATAAAAAATATTTTACATCACTTTTTGGGCATAAAACCTAAAAGTGTTAATATATGATTTATATTTATTAACCTCGGAAACAAAACCTTCAATTAATGCTTCGTAATGTTGATCGCTTAATCCCATCAAAGGTTGTAAATTATTTCGAAGTGCTGATATTTCTATACCAATAACTTCAAGAGCCTATAATTAAATAAATGTAAAATATTTTTAGTTAAATGTAAAATATTTTTGGTTAAATGTAAAATATTTTTGGTTAAATGTAAAATATTTTTAGTAAATTAAATTTCAAGTAATATAAAATTAAACGTAAAATATTCAACAAAGTAAATCATAACATACCACAGAACCTAAGGTTCCACCCCAATTTCCAATTGGTACCGATTTTATTTCACAATGAATATCCATTAATTGTTCGGTTGATTGTAAAATTTCCGGAAGATGTTTACTAATATTAGGAATCAATCCTTGTGATAAGAAAAATGAAATCGTACTGGCATTTATTCGTTGTGAGATCGGTCCTTCATTATGTACAAAATAATCATATTCAAGAAATTCTATCCATCCTCCTGGTTTCGTCACTCGAACTATTTCTTTTATCACTTCTTTCCATTGTGAAGTCGTGAATGCTGAAGATAAGAGTGATTGATGTACATAATCAAATGTATCATTAGGAAATGGTATTTTATTTAGAATATTATATTGAACAAATGATGCATTTCTTGGTTTGACATGTTGTGGAAACATGGGGGATATATCAATACCAATAAATGTTGTTGATTTATATTTAGATGCCAAATCCATTATCCACGTTCCTGGACCACATCTTATTGAACAATAAAAAAAAAGAACGTCAATAAATTGCGCAGTAAAAAAATAAAGAAAAAATATGTATATAATAATTATATATATATACAGTATATATATATATATAAAATACATAAATTGTATTAATTAATATATTTTTAAAAATTTTTTAAAAAACTTACCCAATATCAAGGACACGACCACCACCTGCGGTTAACATCGGAGTTATGGGAGAAGTATAACATGTTCTCCAATATTCTTTAAACAAATAATATTGTAATTCTAACTTTTCAATCTCTTCATCATCATTAGGAAAAATATATTTTACAGTTTCATCAGTATGAAATCTTCTACCATTAATAATTCTATGTGATGGGGTTAATTCTTCATCAATAGGAATCCCGTCCATCCAATGGTCATTACATTTTACCGCTTTAGAAGCACAAGTACCCATATTTTTTTTTAAAGAAAAATGTATATTTTTTTTTTTATTTTATATTATTTTATTTTTATTTTTATTTTTTTTTTATGGAAAAAGGGAAAAAGGGGAAGAAGTCCAGCTATTTATTATAAAAAAAAAAATTTTTTTTTTTAAAAAAAAAAAAA